AGCTGGGGGGAGACCGTTTTTTCTTGCGGGAGACCTGATGGACGACTTCTGCAATGCAAAGGACCCTACGAGGGGAAAGGATCAAATTGTTCCTCTTCCTTGTAATAAAACACTTCGAGCATAGTTCAAACCTTAATTTTACATCATCTTTTTTGGAAAAGAAAGAAAAATACACATTGAAAATCAGTTCTCACGACCCGTAAAAAAACGGTTTGCTGGGTCGTAAAAACCATCTTTTGAAAAAAACTATCCTGGCTTCCGGTAAAACGCAATTTAAAAGGGGGTTCGGTACATCAGGGAAGAAAAGGGGATGGTTGTGTTGACCACATCCCCCCGCCGATGGATCTATTAGCTCGGCCGAACAGCAAGTTTAACTTCCACAGGGCGATAGCCAGGTGTCTGAATCAAAGTGAAATTTCTTAAATTTTTTTTCTTTTTTTTTTCTTTCTTTCTTTCTCTCTTTCTTTTTTTTTTCTTTCGTTGTTTCTATTTTTCGTTCGTTCTTTCTTTCTTTTAAATTGGCACGAGCACCCAACATGTGAATAAGTAGACACTCACAGCATGATACTGATCACATCAGTTCTGACACCTTTTTTTTCTGCGTTCGCAGTAGTTAGGGTGGTTAGCTCGTATTGTTATCTATTCCTGTGTTTCGATATCTGCGCATTTGGGCCCAATGCATCTAGTTTAATTAAACCCTATATTTGAACATGCCTGTTTAAGGGCAGTGGGTGCATTCACCCCCCCCCCCCCCCAGTAAACTTGGGGTACTAGAATCAACGCGTATAGTCCATTTTCCTAGTGAAATGAGGTCCTAGAACCCACACTGAGAGTCTTGTTTGCCCAGGAAAATTGGGGTCCTAGAACCCACACTGAGAGTCTTGTTTCCATAGGAAAATTGGGGTCCTAGAACCCACACTGAGAGTCTTGTTTTCCCAGGAAAATTCGGGTCCTAGAACCCACACTGAGAGTCTTGTTTCAACAGGAAAATTGAGGTCCTAGAACCCACACTGAGAGTCTTGTTTCCATAGGAAAATTGGGGTCCTAGAAGCCACACTAAGAGTCTTGTTTCCCCAGCAAAATTCGGGTCCTAGAACCCACACTAAGAGTATTGATTCCCCTGGAAAAATGGGGTCCAAGAACTGACACTGAGAGTCTATGTCTCCAGCAAATTTGGGGTCCTAGAACAAGTAAATACATTTGAAGATGAAAAAGAGATGTCAGTTTCTCAAAAGATGAGCCTTCAGGAGAAAACAAGAATAGTAATCTGCTCCTATGAGGCCTGACGCGTGAGTCCACCAAGTTTAGACTGACTAACTCATCTCATGAGACAGCAGTGTCACAAAAACCAGTAAATTAAACTACTTCTTAAAAAAAAAAAATTACCTAATAATCAGACTGCAAAGAAGAATTAGTAATCGGTACCGATGAATGTCAGTAATATCCTAGCCTTTTTGTAAAATAATTCTTAAAACATTAGAGTTGGTGGAAAAGAACCTGAGAGAGGAACAAGCAGTATGTCGACATTGAAGAAGCTGCTTAGATCACATATTTACCCTAGAAACTATTTTAGAGAAATATTTTGTGTGTACCCCTGAAAAATAGAATATACAGTAACTGTGGAGACTTTCTTAAAAATCAGTTCTTATGCTGGAGATGACCATCTTCAAGTGAAACGCCAATAACACACGTGCAAAATGACGTTTTAGAAAGTTCCCCTTTACTCAGTTTACTCAAGCTACTGTAAGCATCCGGATTGTTTGCATTTTTTTTTTCCTTCTGTTGTATCAAAGAGGGGTGTAAAGCACGAACTGACGATGTCAAATTGCAACAGTTCACACCGAAAGGGTGCTGAGCTACAGATTTTCAAATGTAGGCCGGACGTCTTGAACGGACTACAGTTATTGATTTAAGATGTTGTAAGGATCAATTATGACAAACTGCACATAAATTATTCACGCATAACCAGGTTTGTGATATTTTCTAAGGCAAAACAAAAGCTCTTTTCTTTACATAGCTAACTAAACATAGGCAGTATGAGACAACACTTACCGTACTGACAAGATGGACCGAACCATCCCTTCTCACAGTACGAGTACCAGTAACATTCTCCGTTAGTGGAACATGCACCATAGGAGCAGTGGCATCTATACCGACATCGTGAGTTAAACCAATTGAACTGGCATGATGAAACTAGTGGCAAAGATATCCAAAATACGACATGTACATTCGACTGCATGGTTATTTTTTTTTTTTTTTTATGCAGCTAACTTTAACCCACGACGCGTGACATCAATATTTACTCACTCTCTTTCATCATCATCATTCCGTAACACTACGTTTTATTTGGTCATCCGTTGCTGTTGACTATCTGATCAGATCTCTCCACCTTTGACTGTCAGATGCGACGATTTCATGGTTGCATGCCTAAGGACTGTCCAGTCAGTCAGGTTCTGTGTCCAGGTTGATGCGCTTCTTCTCTTATTATCCTCCGCTGGGCCCAGCTGTATTGGATTTGAGAAGCCGTTAGATCTTACTACGTCTGTGCCATTGCATTTTCCGCCTTCTCACTACAATTAAAAGAGGTTCATAGCTACCGATGTGTAATTAAGCGGCAAACCTCGTAAAATGTGATGTGGTGTTAGGCTAAGGCATTTTCCTGAAATTCGCATTTCCAATATTGTTGTCTTTTTTCGAGTTCGACTTGTTAAGGTCCACAATTCACAGCCATATGTAAACGTACTAACTGATAACCGGGACTTATATTTATGCTCTGTTTAAACAAACCAAAATTATTGGAAACGGCAATTTCAAAGCGGGCTTCTAATCAGTGTCGGAACTCGAGTGCGAATTAAATCGCATAATTAACGACTAGGAGTTTTGTCCAGCGACTAGCAACTTGACATGCAACTTGTTGCTTCGACTACTTGTCTGCTTCACTGTTTGAAATTTCTTCATTACTCGTATAATACAGGACATTATAAATTATGTTTCGGTTTATCAAGCTTTCACATTTAACTCTTTTCGCTTGCATGTATAATTCAGAAAGTTTCGGGCACTGTCATTTCCGCTTTTGTATTTTTAGCCTTTGTTGCAAAGCACTGTCCAGCACACGACTTGCAAAAAACTTGATATACGAAGGGACTTCCCTCCGGACTAGATTTGGAAGCATTAGGGAGACTTTTCTTCTTCTTCTTCATGCGTTCACTTGAAATAAATTTTCTATATCCGCAATGTTATCTTTAGTATGAACTTCATTGTCTGTTGTAATTCAGTCTTGAGATTTGACTTGACGCTTGGTGGTTACGACTTTGAGCTCGGCATGAACTTACAAGGTGATGATTTAATCTAACCTCAGCTGCTAATGTGACTCAGATCGTCAATGCGGAAAATATCGGAATGTTGTGATAACCACAGAAAAAAATAAACGTTACGAAAGCATTCGATGAGGGCCAAGAGTGGGAAGTGTGCGCATAGATGTTGGTTTAAGTTATTGGCTTGCCGTCAGTATACACACACACACACACACACACACACACACACACACACACACACACACACATATCATATTGACAACATCAGTAACAAATCATTCGGATATCACACTTGAGGGTGGAGGGAGGGGGGTGTTAAAGTAGGATATCAGTTAACTTTTTTTAGTTTGCTATTTTGACTGCCAAACAAACTAAAAGAAATTATATTACTATTGGCAACAACACAGCTTTAGGCCTAAATAAAATAATAATAATAATGCTTTAAATTACGTATTGTTAAAACTAAACAACGTTCTTTTAAAATGTTGTTTCTATATTATCACATGTAAGTTAAATTTGAAGAACCACTGAAGACATTTGAAGAAAGTTTATTGCATTCGAAATCAAATACATAGGGACAATAATGAATTTTAAATAGGAGTAAGTCAAGAAAGGCGAGATGATGGAGATACTCGTCTATTGGACATATCACCAGAAGAAGAGGACACATTAGAAGAGAGTTAGCAAACTGATACTGAAATGGGAACCAAATAGACTTAACACAAGCAAAAGATAAACTTAAAGACGAGTGTTGGTAGTAGAGGCCAAAGGTGTTAAACTGGATTTCATCTATAATATCCAACAGATGAATAACACATGAATAACCAACCATACAAGAAAGATTCGACTGCATGCATTTTTCTCTATCAAATATGTACACAAATATACACAAACACACGCATACACACATATATTTATGTATATACATATACATATATATATATATATATATATATATAATATATATATATATATATATATATATATATCACTATACTTCCTCCAAATACGCCGAACTTCGTCTCATTACAGCTTTTGTACTCATACCTGCCCCATCAGACGTATCAGCAATGAGGACCAAAGTCAAAGACAGTAACTGAATATACCATTTCAACGACATAACGTCCACTGCTCTCTGTAACATACAAAATAAACATAGCGTTAGAAACATTATGTATACATATTTTAATAATTTAAAATTTTAATAGGGTAAGAATTTAAACTTTAAATAAATACAGTTGAATGTTTCTGGTATTCCTAAAACACAAATTGCCATCCTTATTGAATGCAATTTTTCGTTATTTGAAGCCCTACTCTAGTTCTTGCAAGGGGTCGCAATTTAGCCCGGCCATAAATATGACCTAATGGCTGAACACGGTATCTGGGACCTCTCCACGGTGATCCTCATCCACATGGTGGCACATTGTGTCATCGGGTGTTTATCGCTTGTGATGTCCTGGTGGGGTAGAAAGTCAGTCAGTCAGTCACTGAATAAACAATTATAAACATCCAGTTTACAAAATATGTACTACCAGTTAAAACAAAACCAGCTGCAGAATGTTATAGTGACCATATGCCAGTCGCCAGTAGCATAATCTCAGTCATCTCCCTGAGAGGATGCAATTTTCCGTTAATATGAAGCCCTACCCTGGTTTTGCCAGGGGCTGCATTATAGCCCGGCCATAAATATGTCCTAATGGCTGAGCGCGGTTTCTGGGCCTCTCCACGGGTGATCCTCATCCAGATGGTGGCACTTTGTGTCAGCGGGTGTTTATCGCTTGTGTGATGTCCTGGTGGGATCAAGTACTACTACTACTAGTCGTCATTATGCTCTGTAAAAGGAAAGTTATATTCACTGCCTTCTATATTTAGTGCTGACTGGTCTCCAAACCTAGGAGTTTAGCATCTCAATAGAATTTTCTTTTCAGTTGGTGACTAAATGGGTTCATAGGTCAGCATGTATGTTCTTTCCCCTCTGTCTTTTTGTCAGCCGCATTGTTTACTCTCATTTGCCTCGTTTCTCTACTCTTTTTTTTTTTTTTTTTTGGTCTTTCTTATATGACATTCTCTTTTTGAACCCCAACCATCCAGTCCATCAGCTGTCATGCTGTTAGTTATTGATGTAAAGATTATTTCTTTTTCCCACTGTCCGTTCTCCGTTGTTTGCATCTTTTATGGGTGTCCTAAACATTTTTTAGATCATAGATGCCAGAAACTTTCATATCCCTTGAGCCAACCCACATCGGCCCCTTTTTTTCAAAGAGTTCAAACGTTATTTAATGGTGCTATCATTACAATAATAATAATTTGTATTATTATAATACTAATAATATATATTATTTGTAATGCACAATTAAACAAGGCTTGATTCTAGTAGCCATACTTTCCTTCGTACTGTTATTTTTATTTGAAAGGTAGCCCAGCCTGAAATACGAGATTATATTCTGCACAATAAATGAGGCCAGCACCATATTTACCACTCACTTCAATGTTGTTTAAAATACGGTGACAGCGCCAAATACAGAACAACCAAGGAAAAGGGTCCTTTTAGAGATATACTTATAAATACTTCCTTGTTCTATACAGGTGTACAGAAATTAAAAGTCACACACACACAAAAAAGAGTATTTCTTGCAGCTGTGTATGTAACCTGCTTTCGTATAGGACTTTCACTTTACAGTTGAAGACTTCTTTTTACCTGGTAATGAAATGTGCTTAACTATTTCAGTAGAAAGTATTGCATAAAGAGTTCTTTGGATTTGCCTGGCATGCAGAGTTCTAGTCAAATGTACGTTTTCCAACTGTAGCTTAACGCATTCTTTCTCAATTATTTAATTCAGCTCCTTCCGCCACATATATCTAAACTAATTCAGACTCAGACATTTCTTTCTTTTAGGCAGCTGTATTAACATAGCGTAAGGGCTAAAAAAGTAAATAGAAACGCGATTCAAGTGTAGTAATTATTATTATCATTGTGACTATTATTTATGCACACTTAAATAGGGCTTTACCACCCCCTCCCCTTTTTCCAAAGCTTTCTTGGTGACGGCTTGGCTGACTTAGATGCAGTTGCCTGTATGTATATGGCAGGCGCCCAGTTGGCTAGCTCAGTTGGTTAAAACTACTGCGCGGCGACCGGGTGACGAACTCCTTGTGGTTGGGGGTTGCCGCCCGGGGATATTCATAAAAGCCACTTTCTCCCAGTTTTACCCTATCTATCATGGAATCAAGGCCGAAGGGTTGCGATATCCGTAGTACCGAGCCAAAGGGTTAACAAATCACGGTTTCTAGATACTTAAAAAAAAGTGTATGGCAGGCTACCCAAGATTCACATATCACCAGAATTTACTTAACTCCGTTTAGAGTGGCTTCATTGGATGAGTCAGACAGACACTAATTAAGTAATATGGTATGTGGGGCTTGGTAACAGGCGTATTGGCAAATTCGTCAGAAAATTTATTCAGGGCCCCTAAATAGTAGATCTCGAAAGGGAACCTACCCTCCGTCTTGTACACATGAAAATAAATACCAGAAAAACTTCGGTGCAGATGGCTAACACTGTACGACAAGTATACACCGGATAAGTACGACTAGAACTGATATATTGTATGAGAGCATACTCCCCTATAGCTACACTGAATATAAACAAACTGGGCCAAAAGTATACAACACCGGTAGCAGAATTCATCACTGGGTGCATGTTAACAAACCCAATCAATGACTTGGAGTCAACATTCGAAGTCAGTTATACAAAGAAAGGAAAGTGCTAACCTCGATATAAGAATGTTAATGCATAAAACACAGCGCCACGCACAGATTTGCAAACATCACGATCATCAGTCGGCAGGTCCTTCGCAGAACGTCG